ATTTAACAGTATAGACATAGATGTCTGCGAAAATCCAAAACCCACGGAAATTTTATCCATACCAAAAATAAAATTATTACAAAAAGTCGAGATACACTCACAACACTTCAAATCATGTTTCATTTCTGTAGACTACCTTATAACAAGATGCTCCACTTTTGAAGATGCTCAAATGGTAGACGGGGGCTATTATTCCGAAATCATTGAATTAGGACATGCTCGATGTGAAGACTTACACCACAAATTAATTTACCAAACCCCGTTTGGAGGCATCATATCAGGCATACGAGTCAATGAAACATTCGTTACGTCACACACAAGTGGGGGATTATTAGATAAATATGGCAATTGTGAAGGTACCACTTTCACAAATGCCAGGGGTACATGGAATAATGTAATAGTTCAAGCAAAATACAAAATTCATTTATCTGAGGGCTTAGCATTAGCAAACACCAAAGAGAATGTATTAATATTACCAACAGGTTCTAGACTAAAGCTGTCGGAGTCATACGGACTTGATCAATATAAGGGGGAAGTAATTTGGACGAATGAAAACTTAGACTGTAGTATCACGGAATATGATGTACTATATGACGGACCAGCCTCCGTTGTCACATCTGTAGATAAGAACAATCACAAAACCGAAACTTATATTGTAGAGACCACGCACATTGCCTTCGCTCTAAAAAAAATATCTATGACATTTGCCTGTAATATACCAGTGATCCAAACAGAAAATAATCAACTTCTTATATTATCCAACTACATATATGTAAACAGTTTCACACCCAAAAAAATTCAACCATTTAACACCGATCTATTATCCTATATAAATACCAAATTCGTTTATCTAGAATTTACTATAAAAAGAACCGTTACAAGTCTTTACGAAGACATAACCAGAAAACAATGTAATTTCGAAAGACAACTTCTTTTACAAAAACTAACACTTGCCTCGTATAGTTTATCTGAATTTGCTTACACCATTGGGGAAGGACCAGGTTTCGTAGCCATTAAAAATGGTGAAATTATTTATTTACAAAAATGTAATCCGGTAAATGTAGAGATATCAATACAAGATTCGTGCTTCAATGAGCTTCCGGTATTATACAATAATAAGACACTTTTCATGACTCCCAAAACTCATATATTACAAACTTATGGCACTCAAATAGATTGCAATGAATATTTACCCCCTGCATTTCAGAAAAATGGCAAATGGTTCTCCCTCACACCAAAACCGCATAGGGTAAATAATCCACAGACATTGAAACCAGACACTACCCTAACTTGGTCTTACGAAAGTTCAGACAATTTCATGACGGCAGGCATATATACACCCGATATAATGAAGGCACTACAAAACCATTTAATGTTTCCTCAAGAATCTGATACAGTGCAAAGGAATCTAATTAGGCAAACTCTAGGTCACAATGTAATAGACCAGGGTATTAATATAAAAAAACTTAATCGATGATCAAACCCTAAGCAAATTAGTCCATCAGGAAATACATAACATATGGGGTTGGTTCACGACTTTCGGTAATATAACATCAGGCTTGCTAGGATTAGTCATTATTTTTAAATTGGTCATAACTTGTATAAACACAGGGTTAAATATAACATTATTATACAACACATTTGGGTGGAGCATCAAACTGATCGGTGGGTTATTCTCAAACGTAACTCACCACTTAATGCATAATAAACACAAAAAACATTATAATCCTAAAAATTCAGAATATACAATAATAGAAACAGAAACAAAAAATAAGAAAACCAAAGCACCACTAATTCCATACCACAGAAGACTCTCAGTATAAAAAAAAAAAAAAAAAAAAAAATGAAAAACAATTTAAGTTAAGCTAAAATATTAAGTAATAATTATTTGTATATCAATATAAAAAAAAAAAAA